AGATGATAAGCAGTACCTTACTGATTTCTTTTGAATAGGACAGATAAGTGAAAAAGGGGCTGGCTTTTTCTGGTCATAAGATTTTTTGTCATTTCGTAGATATTAGCTTATAATTTACGAAATTTTGCTTTCTTACTTTCTTTAATAATTTAAATGTCATCTTAATAAATGTAAGTTTATGAAAATAGAGCCTAAAGTAAGTAAATGTACAAATTTAGCTAATAAAGGCTCTTAAAATATAGGTCTTTATGTCAGATCCAAAAATACGAGCTCAGAGGGTTAATTACAGAAAAAATGTCATATCATTTAAAAAAAGATAAGCAAAATTGAATCTTGTGAAAATGTAAGCACTTTGAAGGAGATAACTAAGTGGAAATTTTTGCTAGAGGCTATGTATATAAGTTAGCAGTCTCTCAAAATGTAGTTTTTATTTAGAAGACACAGAGAAATTGCAAAGTATTTATAATATTTTGGACATCACTGAGCAAAGTTACAAAAATTCATTTTCAGAATACATTGCAATTGATGATTATATTGAGAAAGCACATGAAAACACTGACTGCTATATTTTACAAAATGTTAAAAAAGCTACAGAAACTGGAATTTGCTGTGAAAGTTATACAGAAGAAAGTGACTATGTGTCAACTTCAGCTGAATCGCGAAAGAACTGTCTAAGAAGAGCTCTTGAATTGAAAGGTGGCAATCAGGAAACTACCAACAGTTTTACAAACTTGAAAATACAGTTGAAAGACTGATACCAAACAATGTGAAATAATACAGATAGAGTAGTTCTTTGTAAAAGTTTAAAATTTCATCAGCTACATAATTATAAAATTAAAGGAAATAAATAAATAAATAAATAGAAAATAAATTCCCAAATTTAATTTTAACATTCATTTTTAAATAATAATTTAGGTATTAATTATTAGATGAATTTTTAGTTACTATCTTACTTAATAAATTCAAAATTCATACTGTAGTTTGCTTAACTGAAATCACTGTTTATTAAACTCAGCTGCTTAATAAACTGAAATATGCATGGAATGGAAGTAAGTTTAATGAGTAACGGATGCTGTACACAAATTATTGGGTCATCAGGGAATTTCATATGCGTTAGGTGAAAGAAAATTTGAAACAAATATATTTAGAAATGCAAAGCTAATTTATTCAAATTAAATGCTTGCTCAAATTTTGTGATCTTTTGAAAATTCTGAATTAACTGTTTTTCTTATCCTTTCTTAGCTTCCTGTTAAAATAGACATCATCAAGCATCCTAAGGAAGTGGATGGTAAAAGTACAGCAGCACATGCTGCTGTTTTGGCACCAAAAGATGTGAAAATATATACATATCCAGATTTTCCATTTTATGAGAATGAAAAGGTAATTTTTTTTCAGTTTTTTAATATAGGTAATATTTGTTTAATTTCTTAACTGATTTTAGAAAATGATGGTGTTTGTGTCCTTTATATTTTGAAAATTATTATGAAAACCTTCATTTATTACATTGAATTGTAAGAACTATATGAATAAAAGAAAATTAAAATTTAATTATAATAAAAATAATTAAAGTGAAAGGAGTTGAGTATTATGAACATTAAATTTAAAAATTGTTCAACATTTGTTGGACTGTTATTAAATTTATTAACAGTTTTTAATTTCAGGCTGTTATGATATATACCTTGTTATTTGTGAAAGCTTTTCATGATTTTTAGCCAGAACACTAAACATGAGTTTGATTCTTCCTCAGCATTATACATCTCTTTAAGTGATTCACTGTGGCTGGCTCACTAAGTACACACGGCACTGGGACTGTATTTCTTTAGCTTTATTTAATTACACTAAATATGAAATAAAAGATACAAAATAAGCGAGCCATTCTACTTGTTGATCACAAAATGACATTCTATCAACTACTAGTCTTATTTCCACATGCAAAAATTAGAAACTGAAAGAATGAAAAACTACACACTTTGTACAACAATAAGTTATAGATGAATTATGCCAATTTTCAGTTTGGGTGGCCTGATGCTTCAGCATCAAATGAATAAATTAAGCACTCTTAGATTTCATATGCTGCTTGTAGTATTTAAATGAACATCCAGGCTCCCATTGAAATCCTAGAGAATTTCAGCAATAGGTGATTTTTACAAATTTTTATTCTGCAATGAAAAAAACTATTAATAAAACTAATAGAAAATACAAAAATGTGATATATGATGCAGTTCACAGTTTTTAGTCATTATAAGAAGAGGACACAATTTCACAACAGGTCATTTTATGACACCATGACCAGTTTTAATACTAACAACTCTGACTCTGTGATCTGAGGCTGGATAAAACAATTATTCTGTTGGATACAAATACTTACCACCTTTTAGAATTTGACCTTAACCATGACAACATGATTTGTGCATCATTCCGCGCAGGCAATGAATCAAATATTATAACTAATGCAGCCCTAACAGCCTGAATCAAACTTGCCAATGGTGCTGCTGCACGTAATTCCAATCTTGGAATTATGAGAGGTTACAATGCTGCTGCATGAATTTTAGCAGTTACAAGTTTAACATGAATGTTAGACTTATTTCAAGTTTTAATGTAAAGAACTGCTGCGTAGCCCTTTTTGGATGTGTCACAAAATCTGTGAAGCTCACATTAAGAATAACCTGTATAATACATCTTTTATAGCTACATTTATGGAATTCAATAGTTTAATTTCTGTACACAAACCTCTCCAATTTTAATCAATCTCTTTTGGTACAGGATCATCTCATGAGAAGTATAATTTCCACAATTGTTGAAGATCATATTAGCGAGAATTGCAAAAAGAACTGTCCACCTCAACTGATTGAATAACCTTGATACAAATGACAAAATAATTGTTTTATTCAGAACACCATGATAATCTATTACACTGAAATTGCACTTGAATTCATCATTGTCAGAATGCTATATCAACACCAGAGCATTAAATGTTTTACTTTCTATGACAATGAATATAGGCACTAGCTGTGTTTGTTGTTAAGCCAGCATTTTCTAACAATGAAGGTTCACTTGTCAACCACTTATGAAGCTCAAAGCCACCGTTTTTTAGCAGTCACTGCAATTCATCTTTCAATGCAATACCTTCTGGACTCTCCTTAACACCACTTAGTACATCATCAATGTAAAAATCTTTTAAAATGATATTCCTTGTCGTAAAAAAATTCAGTCCTTCATGAATCGCTAACTTACTTAAAACTTCCGTCGCAAGATATGGAGCAGCTACAGTTCCATATGCGACAGTGTTTAAATGACAGACTTGTATTTTTTTATTTGGGCTATCTCTCCATAATATTTTCTGAACATCTCAATCTTTTTGTGAACTTTTATTAGTGTATACATCGTTCAAATATTGTTGATTATTGCAATGTTATGAAGTCTAAATCTAAATATAAAATAAATCATCTTGTGTGTTTGGACATATCTTTAATGTATCATTTAAAGAAGTACTTTTGGTTGTTTTTAGCACTTGCATCAAAGAATTCTCAGTTTTGTTTTTTAGCTAGATTCCATTAATATGAAACGATATGGGATATAACAGTGTTTATTCACTAATTCACAATATGTATTTGATACTAGTTCTGTCTGTCCCAGTGAAAAACATTCTTTCATAATTTGAATATTTTGATTGTAAATTCCTGGCATGGATAACATTCTCTTCTCTAAATATTGAAATTTCTGCACATTTCATGAGAATCACCTGAAACATCTTTATTATGTTTGAATGGTAATGGAACTGAGTAATGGCCTGATTTGTCTCTAAAAATGGAAACTATTAAAATGTTCTTCACAAAATCTTTCTTCATCCGTTAAATGTTGTACATTTGGAAATTTGGAAATTTAACTTATCTGTATTTGCATTCCCATGATTTTACATGTAGTGATACAGCTGTCTGTGACTCGAAATTTCTAGTACTCAAAATTATCCATCCCAATCTCGAGTTTAGCACAAGTGGGCAATTTGTACCATGTTTGACCATTTCTTTCATCATTAAATGCAGAAGTGCATTTACACCAAACAAAATGTCAGTGAGTTGTTACTTGTAAAATAATGGATCAGTTAACCTTAAATTATTCGAGTTGTCAAAGATGATTAATGGTACAGATAATGAGAAGTGAATAATAAATCAACTTTCCCATTAGTCACAGTATTAAGTTCTTCTAAACAAAGACACAAAAATGGAATTATTTTTCACTCGTAATCCTAATTTCTTCACAGTCTTTTGAAATAAATGATCCCTGAAATCCAATGTCACATAAACATCTTTACTTCACAAAATGTTATCGAAAATTTTGAACTTTTATCAATGCAGTACACAACAAAATGTGGCTAGTTTGATTACTTTTTTCATTCGAATCATAATGAGAGACACAAACTGTAGATGAAACATCCCGACTCAATTTATTTGCCTCATTTCATTTAGGAATGTATTGTATGTGTGTATTATATGTTTATGCGGAGACATATTTTTTAACTAAGTTTTGTTCTTTGAATTATTTACAATGTGCAAAATACTGTGATGTTTCTTAAAGCAAGGTTGAAATGTATTTAAATTCTTGCATTTTCTGAATAAGTGCCAACTAGATAGTTAAAACAGTAGTGTTTTGATTTTACTAAGTCTGCTCTTTTAAACTGTTAAATTTAGAAATTTTGAGCTTTTGGCTAAACTGTGATCTTCTTTGCAATAATCACAGCCTAAAGTAGCTACCAAACATTAGTTTTACTCTAAAATACAAATTTAGGTACCTTTTGATTTGCTGTTTTAAGTGTTACATAGTTCTTTAGAAATTCAATTAATAGCCTTACCTTTAAAGTCTCATTACATTTTAGCTGGCATTCCCACCATAATTTTGTAGAAGGATTTAATTTTTATAAAATTAAGTAAGCCATCAAAGTATCACCAAAATTATCAATGGTTTGGTCCAATACTTCTAATGAATGAATTACTTCATTAATGTTGTTAACTAAATTTGAATAGCAATAGCTGATTCATTTTGAATAGTTGGTAAATTTAGGAAAAGTTTAACTATGCAAAATTTTGTTCTGTCATATTTGAACATCTTTTGTCTGAAAGATTCCATACTACCTCAAAATTACAGTCTGAAATTTGAATATTTTGAATGATGTGCTAGACTTCACATTTCAGTGAAGCCTTCAAATACTGTAATTTTGGAGCTTTAGATAAAATTTATATTATTTCTTATTATTTAAATTTATTAAAAAGTGATATAATACTTTGTAATTTCTCACTGCATTCTGAAAATGAAAATGTACAGCATTTTTTATCACCGAGAAGATGGTACTGGGAATACATAAAAGGAAAACACATTGCTTAGAAATCTGGCAGATCTAAAAAATCTAACATTGTTTTCAATCGAAAGTCGAATTACATCAACATATAATGGCAGATAAATGCAAAGAAGAAAGATAGTTTATACTTCTTTGGTGCACACAACTACCACGGTATTTAGATCAAATTACCAATATTTTTTTGATTTAAAATGTGCATGATTTCTATATATCCTGTTTGACTTGTTTTTTAATATGCAAAATATAATGTTAATTTAAGGTATAACTGTAAAAAATTATGTAATAATGTATACTTATTTCACTGTAAAAGCTTTTTAAAAAGTATAGTTAAAAGGATTCAACTGAAAAATATTTTAGTACTTGGTATTAAAATATATACCATCAATAATATCATCCACAATTTTGCTTTCTTGCAAACATTGCTGCAACTCTTAAAGCTGTTCTGGATTCTTGAAAGGTATACGTGATTTTTTATTTTTCCCCCTTCCTTCTCCTGTTATTATTTTTTTTCTTTTTAAATTCCTTAAGGGAAGATTGGGGGTTGATCTCTTTTCATTTCAATGGGAATTTCAGGCCAGTTAGAGCAAATACATATCTATATTGCATCATTTTCAGGTGAGACTTTGCCTGCCCTCAACAGAGATTTTGGAACAGCATTTGTTCATTTTATATTAATTCTTACTGCATTTTGCATTGATTTACAAAATTTGTTGAGAAAGAAGCAGAAACATTTTTTTTTTTTCCCCATCATATGGTAATTTGCTAAAAAGCTGTGAGTGTTCTAGTTCTCATGCAGTTAAACTGAACATGAAAGAAGATGTGCTGGCAGAAATATCATGGTGTCTACTGCTGATAAAGTGTTAGAATATGAACTAAGAGTTGATTTGAGGGAAGATACTTGCTCTGTTATTTATCAGAGTTTATACTGAGGCAAGCTGCAGACAATTAACAGTTTATTTGATGTAATTGTCAATCAAAAACCTGCCAGAAATTTAAAAAATCTTTTTAACTGATCTACTGAAAAAATATGTATTAAAGCAAAAGGCATCACTACATTGTTAATTCACTCATTTAATAGTAATTTGGATTTTTACTGTAGTTTCTTCTTTTCAGGAACTCTTACCAGGATGCAAATGAGTTAAGACTATTTAAGATTAAATTTAAGGTGCATTCCTTGCAAGTTTTAGATGTAGAGCTTTGGCAGCAACACTCACCAGTTTTACTTTCTTTAACCCATTTCTGCTGTGTTAGTATTCTGCATTTGCCATTTTGCTGAAGTTAAATTGTATAATAAAAAGTCTGAGCACTCCTTAGTTGTCAGTTATATTATATTCTCTCCAGCTAGGAATCAGGGCTGTGGAGTCGATAGGAAAAATAACCGACTCCTGGAATTTTGGACTCCGACTCCCACACATATATATATATGTAAACATATACACATAAGTTACAGCTTATTTTTTAATATAAAAAAAGTAATAGATGCTACAGGAAAAAAAATGATGGCATAGCAAATTATTTATATTCATTAGCATTAATTATGAAATGAAAAAACTGGCATTCATTATGTCTAAGAAACAGTACAGTTTCATCAAGATCTTTCTTTGGAGGACCATAGATACGATTGTTCTAAAAGTTCTAACAGCGGTGTCTTGCAAGCGCAATCATATTTTTCTATTTCTTCAAATGCCGTGTGGAAATCTTGTTTTTATTTTTTTTCATTTTTATATCTAAAGGCTCCTGGTTCTTTATTTTCATTCGCTTTGACTTAGCCTCTTCAATATTATCCAAAAATATTTCTCAAAATTTAATTCATCCCTGGAAGAGGGTGGAAGAGACTTGAATGCAATGTCTGCAGTTTGACTGTTCTGATTCAAATTCTCTAATTGTTCTGAGAATAATTTCATTCTTCATGGATGTTCATGGATGGCTTTCTTTGCCTTTTTAATTTGTTCATCATCTAAGAAAATTCAGTGTTTCGGATCTACATATGTTGAACCCAGCAAAATCTCATTGTCTAGCAAACTAGTTTCTCTTTTCTTCATTGAAGAAATGATTCCTTTTGCAATAAACCCTCCATTTCAGAATAAATTTCACATTCTTCAGTTCTCGCCTCCTGTCAATTCTTCAGATCGCAGCTTTTTGTGGCTATATACAATGTAAAAAGAAGAGTTTCCAATTCTGCAAGATCATTCCACTGTCTTTCTGTTCGTGAAACATTAGGATTATCTACATCTTCTAAAAAAAGTTCTTAATTCTAATAACCTCTTTATCATCAAATGTATACTTCCTTATCATGTTGCTCTATCAATAATTGCTCCTTTTCCTGCTTGCTTCTTAAGAATGGCATCAATTTTGGGAGTTCTTGCTGCTATTGCCGCTTACTTAAATTTACCAGTGTAATTTGTAACTAAATGAATCAATTTAATCACTAATGGCTCAACTTGTCATTAATTTTTTGCAATTCATTTAAATTTCATTTCAAATTCAAACTGTCCAACAAAAACTGGAGTTGGAGTCGACCTGTTTTTAACGACTCCAGCTCCGACTCCTTTTACCCCAAAATCTGCCTGACTACACAGCCCTGGAATATACTATTGCAGTTTTAGGTCATTAACCAGCAAGTGCCACTTAACCACTTCATGGAGGGAGTATCATATGCAGCAGTACTTAATCCTTTTACATAATGGCATGGCACTTAGTGCAACTCACCTGGAGACAGTATGTTTTTGCGGTAGTATGATCTCACAGGGCAGGGTATTTCATGTTGCTAAGCCTAACTTTAAAAATAAATAAAAATCTGAAAGCTTCCAGATTTAACATTAAGCCCAAAGAGACATTTTTTTAATGTTTTGTGGGTTACTTTTATTTATTAAATATCATGTTCTTCGCACTTAACCATTAAATTCAGTTCAATAGCAGTATCACAAAATAATATTTAAATGAGCATATCCCCCCCCCCCCTTTATAATTTCTGATACACAATCTTGCATGCTGGAGATTATTATTTTTTTTTTCCATTACAGTGTTGCCATTGTTCACTTTGAAATCATTGAGTTTCTTAATAAAAAATTCTTTAAAGTTTTACAGAATAGAAATAGATAATAAAACAAATTCCAAATTCGGGCTTCCAGATGCCCATATTTGGGTGGAAACATATGTTATTCAAAATTTGATAGGTACTCTAAGTACTAGATTTGATAGGCTCTAGGTACTGTTATTTTATCACAGTGCGAGAAACATATATGCATTTATGCAGATTCTTCATTATTTATAATACAGAGCACTAATATTTGGTGGCAACAATTTGAAAAGTGAGGCAACATTTATAGTGAATCAACGCAAAATGCAAAATGAAATTAATAGTCCTTCTGGGCAAATTGCCCCTTTGGACTAAAAATCATTAAAAATTATTTTTTAATAAATTACATTGATTTTTTCTGTAATCCTATCTAATAGTAATATAATCATAAATATAGAACATCAAGACATTCTGAAAAAAAAAATTATTTAATTGCAAAATAAAACATTTTACTCATCTTAATTAAATATTGTACAAAATTTATTTAAATCTATATCTAAACATATGTAAAAAATAATAAAATATCTGATTAAGTATTATAGCACAAATGATTCAGAAAGGAGACTGTGTATGTGATAGTCTAGTCGCTAGTGTTCCATATTAGTTATGAAATACATTTTGAGGTCAGGCTTTTTAATGATTCTCATTAGGATACATAATCCTAGGAGTCTCCTCATTTTATGTGCAATCTACAGCAGTAAACTTTGTTGATTTTGGATAGAGATGGATTTTCGATCTTTTTTTTTTTTTTTTTTTTCAATAGGAATTATTAGTTTCTTCAACTATTATGTTCATTAGATCATCATCAGAAAATATATTGAAAATATCAATTTCAGTCAGATAATTTTTAATTAAATTAACTCTTGCAATTCCCATAAATTCATAAGGCTTTGAGTTCATGATGAAGTATCCACTTTTGTGCTGAATTGCAAGGTGTAAGCTAAACAGTTCAGTCTCTGAGAAAATTTCGATATCCAAATAACTACCTTCATTAAATCTAGAGAGTCTTCGATATTAAACTAGTCACTTATGGGCTTGTTTACCGTTCGAATATACTCTTCTTCCTTTAAAAAGTATCCACTTATGTATACTTTTTGTTATAAAGTATCCACTTTTGTGCTGAATTGTGAGGTGAAAGCTTTTAATTATCTTTGACAAAATTTCGGTATCCAAATCACTAGCTTCGCTTAAATCTAGAGAGTCATTGGTATCAGAATAGTCACTCTTGGGCTTGTTTACCATTTTGAACATACTCTTCTTCAGTTAAAAACTTCTCCCTTTTAGACATCACAATATTAGTGTTTAACTCTCTTAATCGCTGCAAAAAAACTTACGTCTACTTTCTAATGAAGATGCAAACTGAATATAAACAGGAATTCCTAAAAACCATAGCTCTGCTCCCAAGCTTCTCATGGAGGAAAAAAATAAATTTGAATTATCTGAACTATTCAATGTTTATATCACGTGAAGCCTCAGGTGCCTGTCAGCTGCATTTTGTTTACTTTATATCTCCCAACTCGTATGTTTAAACGAATCATCAGAATCATAAAATACTTTATGGACACAAGGTTAACAATATATAGATTTATGTAAGCTAACTGAGTGGACACAGAGTGCCATCTAATGATTTAAAAAAAATTCTAAGAGAATGTGAGTGTTTGAAAGTGCGTATATGATGCACCCATCTGGTAGGTCAATGCAAGCGGTTTTGCACCAGTGCATCACCTGGCTGCTGGTAACATTTGGGACTGATGCACATGTGACATACCCATCTCCAAAGGGTTTTTATTTCAGTAGCATGCTATTGCAAAAGGGTTAATACCCATTACCAGTTTTTTTTTAGTTAATGTGAATGTTTTTGTAAATTTCGTATTTGCTCTCAGCTTGTAAACATTACGTTTGAGGGAGTAATCCTTTTCATGTTTGCCATTCTCTTAAAATAATTTTATTTATGTACTTTTTCTCAAATTGGAACACCATCAACTATTTGTGGCTAATAAATAACCTGTATTTACTGAAAAAACTGTTAGCAGCATTACCTTGGAAAAACTTTAGTTATAAATCACAAAGTATTTCTAAACATGATGTGAATCAAAAGGAAAAATTGTTTAATGTAGTTCTGAATATTTTCAGTGTTAAATTGTAGTTAGTAGGCAAACTATTTACCGCAACATTTTGGTTCCTTTCTTAAGTGCTGTTACAAATGGGAAAATATCAAATAATCTCATAACATTCTATCATTTATTAAATTTAAGAAAAGAATGTCACTATACCCAAGTAGCAGAATAAAATTTTAGTTAAGAACTCAATCTTTTGGGCAAGATTATTTTTTAATTACTATTAAGAACTTAATAACAGCTTATTTAACTTTCAGAGTTCTTATTGGCAATTAAAAGTTGTAAATGTTTTATGCTATTTAATCAAACATGTTAATATATAATTTTTAATACAATGTCTAAAAATTTTGCGTTATTTTCTAATAATTTACATGAAACTATAAAAATATTATAATTGAATTATAAATATTAATTGCATTCGAGATGTTTATTGTATGATTCTGAAATTTAAGAACCTGTCCGGTTTAATTGTATTAGTCCTTGTTAAGTTTCTGATGTTAATTAATGTTCTATCTTTGCACTGCTGTACATATTCATTATTGTAACATGTAGCAAGTTTATTTGTTGTATATTTTTTATAATGATTCTTTTATGAAATTATTTCTTTGAATAAATTCTTTCATTGCTTTTAGGTGTTGCTTATTTTTCCGGGTAAAGCTGCTCTTCCCTTTCATGAATGGTGGATTAAAAATTTCAAATCTAATTCTCTAAGTGCCTTAAATGAAAGTGATAAAAATGAAAATGCTGGTGATAAGCCTTCTTATAATCAGTGTTTGAAATCATCTCCTCCTGTTAGATGTGGGGATGAGGAACAAAGTATTCTTCCCTTTTCGAGAGTTGTATTTATTGATAGGTAAGTTATATAGTTGCATCTTTTTTATAATCCTTGAAGTTGCTTAACCCCTTAACTGCCGCGGGCGTATATATACGCCTTGCTCAGCCGATGCGTTAACTGCCCCAGGCGTATATATACGTCCTTCCAAACTGCTATCATTTGCTTTGCGCTGCTACACCTAAAATTATTCGCAAAGTTAACGCATCGGCTGCGCATCTGGGGCAGTTAACGCATCGGCTGAGCAAGGCGTATATATACACCCGCGGCAGTTAAGGGGTTAAGATGTATTTTCTGCTAGTGAGTAGCAAAAAATACAGTATAGTTGCAGATGTGTTGGTGAAAGGTTTTTAGAATAGATAGGATAAAACTGTTAATGTGCTTGCTTTTGAAATAAAAGAATTAAAACTACTTGTAAGCAGTTCAGGAAATAGATATTCAGTAGTATAAGTAGTAGGATATAGTCAAAAAATAGAGATGTAATTTTAAATCCTTACATATGCAAATTGCTATCAGTAATTAAATCAATATTATTCAAAGTTCTATTAAAATTCCAAAAATTATTTTTCTTTTATATGCAAGTAAAATTTCTCAATTGCATTTGTATTAATATTATAAATATTGTTTTGAAAATTTTACAATAGCCAGAAAAAAAAATTATAAATTTAGTTAGTTAAAACAGTTTCATGCAAAAGTTGTTAAATTAAAAAGGGCATAAATAAATTACCTTTATTTTAGCATCAGAAAGATGATCACAACACACACTTCCTTTTGAAAATACGAAACTCGACTTTCGGTTTTAAAACTGCATCTTCCATTACATAGAAAAGCTTGATAATTTGTGATAAATGGTCGATCGATCATCATAAATGAAGACACTGGCTTTACGACAAAATGATTTTATTTGACACACTCACGAATAAAAATATGATATATAAATTTTACATAGTAGAATTTTGGCAGAATATGCGGGTCTATGCACACACACACCTCTTCTTTTCTCTCCTCTCTCGCAACTGCCGATTTTGGCGAAGTTCTTTCACTGGCACTTATACATGGCGTTTCTTATCAGTTGTGTTAATCTTAATGTCTTTCCTTGGGAAGAGTATGCGTTTCGCTAGAGACCATACGCACAATCAAAAAATCGAAGTTCATTGTTTATGTATCTCTAAATTATGTTAAGATTATATCAGTTTCACTATACCTGTTTCACTGCATCCCTGCACACACTCATAAAGTCCTACTCTAAATGTGCCATTAATTTGAAGTATACAAATTAGATATACAAAAACCTTTACATACACAGTATTTATATATGATAACAAAATTATTAATTATATATATATATCTTAATCTTTCATACATATGTAATAATTTCCTCTAATACAATACAACTATCAAGGAAAGCTAACAAAACCAATAACAAAGTTTCCTTTAAAAAAATTATGGAATGACTTGTGAACATACAATAGGAATGAATAATCTCAAAAGTGATGACTCAGTATGAACCATACAACTCAACTCACTAAACATAAGTTGATGCAAATGACTTTTTACATTTATAATAAGGAAATAATACATATATAATTGACCACTCTTCCCTGATATTTGAATTTTGTAATAATTAAAATTATATTTTTCAGTAATGTAATTGCATTCTTCACAAAATATTTTTCGTGTGTTAAACCGAGGTACAAGCGAAAAAAATGCAATATGATGGCCATTTGCTACAACTTCCAGCCTTGTTGTAACTTTATATATTAGAAATAATTGAAAATCTATGACAAAGGGAGGCCCAAAGACATACATGCAGGCAATTACAGAAGACAAAACTGCCAAAAAATTCAGTCCTTTTCCATCTTCATAAGCAGCTTCCTTAGCCTTTTCGTTGACCATCAGCTTTGCACACGACTCTGAAGGAAAAAGACAAGGCTCCAATGGTATCGGACGTAGCAAGTTACATCAACAATGATTATAATGACAAGGACACAATAGCAATAATGATGGCAAGAGTTGTACCCGTGGATAATGAACTTGGTACCTGGCCAGAGTAACCATTGCTTAGCTGATCATGCTCTGAACCTGCTGCAGTTTGAAATATCATAGTTGCATTCTGACTAAAACCAATATCATTGTGAATTCTAACTTCTACTTTATAAAATGTATTAGATTTCAACTTAGTCATTTCATATGAAGGGGCATTTTCCCAGTCTGTAATTTTCATCTGTACTACTTCTCTCACCCTATGCCACATTCCATTTTTCTTTTTCGCTTCAAAATAATGCAATTCAAAGAAATCAATTTTATGTCCATTAGCTAATGGTAAAGTCCAATGAATTTGAAATCGATCAGAGTACATGCTCACATTTCCTCCAGATGTAATAAATTTTGAAAGTTCTGGAGCCGATTCAGCAGGCAAACAATTCGCTTTTCATCACTCCATTCACCAATATCAACTTTTTCTTGCAGCAAAATGGACTTTGTATGCTGTTTGAGGCTTTAAATTTTCAAGCACATATGGGAAACCTTCACTCCATTCATGAACTATTGGTTGATCCATAAGGTTCATCTTCTTCATGATATTTAACAACAAAGGCACGAACAGGAAGTCCTCCATCATCACCAGAGCTATCAATTTCAAATGTTATGGTTGTAGCAGTTTCTTTTGCAGCCTTTACATCTCTTAAGCCAGAGGGTCTATGTGCTTCTCTATGTTAATAAACTGGCTTCCATGTTTATTTTCAGCTTCACATCTATATATTCCATACACACTTTGACCATGTTCTACTGCTGGATGAACCATCAAATTACTGTGTGCACTGCGTACATAGATGGCATAAAACTCATCATCCTGAATCTTTTGACCTTGGAATGACCACGTTATAGTTGCATTTGGTATAGATTCAGCAATGCAAGGCAAATTTGAAGGATTTCCATTCCATGTTTTTATAGATGTACTAGGAATCGAACTCATAACTGGTTAAATTTTGACTGTCAGATGGCCAGTTTTTTCAACATGTGCCCCTTTGTTTTCAGCTGCATAATAATATAAACCAGTGCTCCACAACCTTTTCTCACCTGCGACACACAAAAAATCTTTCTGGAATTTTGTGGGCACACCAAAGAGTTCCGAGTTATCAAGGAAGTGCCGAAAAAATTCAAATGCTGACACACAATCACACACATAACCACACAACAGTGAAATATATAAAAACATTTAAAATAGACATTATTAAGGAAAAAAATTGTCATTGTGTATTAAATACATGATAAAAAATTGCAAAATGTCAAATACATGTATTTGATTGCGGCACACCTATATCCTACTTATGGCACACCGGTTGCGGAGCACTGATATAAACCATCGTCAGGTCGAACAGTTCTTTGAATTTCTAAAATTAACACAGCTTTATCTACATTATCAACTTTGGTCAGGCTCAGTCTGTCATCCTCATCATCAAATAGCTTATTTTGCCCTTTCTTTTCTGATAGTTTAGGCAGTGGATCTCCAGTAGCATAACATTCCAATTTAGCTTCCTTATTCTCGGCTAAAGTCCAATGATTCATCTTACTGTTGCAACTTTATAAATGATTTCCTGTTTTCAGAGTATATCTCACATGTCTTCCATGGTCTCACTTAAATTTATATTTTCAGACTTTGCTTGATATGCGGTGCTGTATATCAACATATCACTAACTAATTTTTTAGACTCTGTGCAAGTTATCGGTACCTTGTCATGATAGCCATCATTGATTTTCATAGGAACCACTTTTAACGTTGCAGTTTCAGCTTCCCCAAATGCAGAAGTAATTTTAATTTTTCCCTCTCCATCGTCACAGTCGTGAGAAACCAAGTCACTCCGAATCACAGATATTTGAGCACCGGAGTCGACTATTCCTTGAAAGCTTATCTTTCCACACTTTATTTCTACCCTATTTAACTTATCGATTTCGATAACATTTGTTTCAGCCAAAGGTGACTTTGGAACAGTAATACAAGCAGAAAGTACCCTTCATCATTTTCTTTACTCGTTGTTGTTTGTACTAATCCTCCCAGTAACATTTCTATCTTAGATTTGGTATGTTATTCTTTATGAGATGGACAGGCTCTTGCAAAGTGCGTTTCTTCACCACAGACAAAGCATTTAGGTTTTGAAATGAATTTCAATTTTGTATTAACCGGAATTTCCTTTTGAATTTGTCATTTTTGTGGACTATATGTGTTGTCATTTCAATATGAAGGATATTGCTGGTTTGGCCTTTGCTGTTTAAATTTTGAAGGACCAACTGTATTTTGATTGAATCCACAGATTTCCTGTTCTGAAGGTTTACTGAGCCAGTTGCCGTATCGGACATGCTCCTTTAATTTACTACAAGAAGCATATCTCCTGTCCTTCTCTCTCATATTCTCATATTCATCTAACCGATTGGTCGAGTCAGATGGAACTACGATTTTAGCCCAATTGTCTATAAAATGACGTTTTACTTCACTCGATACTCTGCCTTTTATTTGATCCGATATCATAAGATTCTTTAATTGTTCAAAGGTCGTAACTTTTAAACTTGTAATTCATTCTTCGAAATAACTCTCTACTTCAAAGGAAAAAATCCTTCCATGTTTTATCATTCGATTTCTGATGATGAAAAAATTTTTGACGGAATTTTTCAGGACTTAACTGGAATCTTTTAAGGAGAAGATCTTTTACGTGCTTGTAATCCTTAGCTTTATTGACAAGTTCACGTGCTATTTCGTAAGGCAGTAAGCTCAAAATATGTGAAACCCAGTGTGTTTCTTTTACGTGAGCTCTACTAGCCTGCCTTTCAAATAAAGTTAAATAAAGGGTTATGTCTTCCTCTTTTGGGTCGAATTTTTGCATAAACTTCCGAAGTTCATAACGCGATCTCATGTTCTCATCAAACTATCCGAAATTGACTGTGTTCTCTGCACTCTTACTAGGTGTTTCTCTCTGTAACTTCTCAAGTTCGAAATCCATTTTCCTTGCTTCTAACGCTTCTTTTTCGATTCTTTACTTCTTATTAGTGTTTAATAATTACATTACAAAATTTTGTTCATACTTCTTGCTACCTATAATTATCCTGTTTTAAATATACCACTTTATATTCGGAAGTACCTTCTCCCCAAGCTCCTCAGCTGAGATTTTTAAATCTTCCTTTTTAGCTGTATCCAGGAAAGCCATTCTTAACACTTTATAACAAGTTTCTTTCTAATACCCAAAATTATAATCACTAACTAAACATAAAGTGTGAGTAGCATTTTACCAACTGATAATAAAACACAATCAGATACTAAAATACATTTAAAAAGTTTTACCTTTTCTTATTTACTGTCTTAAGAAAATGGTATTCTTTACAACATTGCTATCTTCACAAAACTTTTAGTTAATATTTCAATTTTACCATGACAATATTTCATTTATACAATTAAAGCATTTTTAATAATAATACTATAATCGTCAATAATTCTAAATAAATAAATAATGGCAGATTTTAAGTAATATTCCAAATTATCCAACACTGAACTAAAAATATTCACATTTAGAATTCATACAATTATTACTTATTCACATCAAACAATAATAACTTGTATGTTTTGCTTTAGAAGAAACCACTATAACACATTCTTCTTATTCTGAAGTAATAAGAATAACTAGATTATTTTGATTAATTTCAGAAATAATCAGAAGTAATATCTATAATTTATCACAATTTGAATGAATACAATGGCTAATTTCAACCCATTCATTTAAAACATTCTCAACGGTAATACTTGCAACTTATTACAATTCTAAAATGAGTAAAATAAAATGGCAAACCTTAGCGACATTTCAAATTAATTAATACTTTGCTAAAAATATCAATTTCCATAAGATTGGATGTAATTTGCAATTATATTTACATGTATTACATAAACCAAAAGTAAATATATTTTATTTAGAATCTAAACCAGAATGAACAAAATGGCACAATAACTGAAATTCGTGTGCAGGATACAAAAAAAAAAAAAAAAAAAAAAAAAAATTAATTTCTCACCTCGTGGATTTCTGCAGGTATCTAAAGATTTCTTGATTATATTGGCTGCACCAATAAAGTTTACTTTTATTTTATCCTCAGAAAGATGATCACAACGTACACTTCCTTTTGAAAATATGAAACTCAACTTTCGATTTTAAAACTGCGTATTCCATTACCTAGAAAAGGTTAATAATTTGTGATAAATGGTCGATCATTCATCAGAAATGAAGACACTAGCTTCATGATAACGTGATTTTATTTTACACACACACATGAATAAAAATATAATAAGTAAATTTTGCATAGTAGAATTTCGGCAGAATATGCCAGTCTCTACACATACCTCTTCTTTTCTCTCCTCTCTCGCAACTGCCAATTTTGGCGAAGTTCTTTGACTGGCGCCTGCATTTGGCGAAATTCGCGTACTTGGCATTTCTATCAGTTTTTTTAATCTTGCACATTACATGACTTATAATTTTTATTCAGTATATTCACAATAAAATATATAACATGACTTATCTATCCTCACCAGTGGTTAAGTGGTGAAGACTGTTAAATACTCATAGTTCAACAACCTTCTTTGGGTTTGAACCCAGGCATAGGAGCTGGCTGCATGGTTGTTTTATAGAATTTTTCCCATTTGTAATGTGAGTACGAACCATTTTCCCTCAGACCTCAGAAAGTATTACATGAAGGCACCCTTCTTTTTTTTTTTTTTTTTTTTTTTTTTTTTTTTTGCCCTTGTAGCTTTGATATATTCAAATAATTTAACCACATCACTTACCTTTTAGAGAGAAGGATTCTGTCTCTTAAAATTTTAACTATTATTAATCCATGTGAAGTATTATTATATAATTAGATTTTTTTAAAATAATTATATTATTTAACCCTCTCCCCCAATTTTAGAAATCATCAGCATTTAATTTTATGTACAAACATTATCTGTTATATGTTAAAATATTTTAATTGAGAAATAGTTTTTCTTGTGAATTGTCATAATATTTACATGATTTAAAAAACTATTATATTTAAGTAACTGATGAATTTATAATGCTTAAATAGGGTATAGGGGAACTTATGTATGAGTGTAATTTAAAAAGTGTACTTATTCCCTTTTTTTTTCTTTGTATGTGTTTTATATTGTTAATTTCTTTTTTGGAAACGTTTGTTGTCCAACTGGCAATTGTTTTTAATATCTGGTGTTATTTGCAATATATGTTGCTTTAAATTATTCTTTTTGGCTTCTACTGTTCATATATTTTTGTAAATTTGTCAGAATATTACTGAGAAATGATGTCTATATTTTAGCACTTGGAGGCAGTCAAAAGCTTTGTACAGTGATCCTAGAATTAGGGGTGAGTTACACTGCTATTTCCCTCTCGGAATAGATGTGCCAGATGCACCACATTGACAAAAAGTTACCACCAAGAGTTTTTCTCAAGAAAATCCCTTTTTTGCAGACTTGCTAGTCTTGAAAGTTCGAACTATAAAACGAAAATTTAAACAATTAAAACAGCATAAAACAAGTGCACTTGTCTCTGAAAAAGGAAAAAAACTGTAAAATAATTAGTAAAAATGTAAAAAATTCATTTTTGACACAAAGTACTGCAGAAGGCAGGAAGATAATCAAACAAAAATATAAACATTATTCAATGCTTTTAAACATTTAAACTATTTCAATGGGCTGCCATACGAAATAAAATCTTACCATGCAAGGCAGAATAATTGTCAAGTTTTGCAAGGGGATGCATCTGGCACATCTGTACTTTCCTCTTTTTCAAGAAATGTGGCCATGTATTCTAAATGCTTCAGTATTGGATTATTGTAAAAGCTGCCGTTATAGAATCAAATATTGGTATGTCTGATTTTCACACATATTTAATCTTGCACCATTTGATGAAAGTTAGTTCTTCAAGTCTGCAATGCTTAGTTCATGAAGCACAAAGAAAAAGAATCCTGGACCTAGGAAAACAAGTTACCAGCATAAAGATGCTCCCCCCCTTACCATTTTTCACTTGCATCTTGAAATACTTTGTCTGTCAGTAAATTGGTGGCCATTCTGCACTTTCACTCAGTATGAAAAATTCCGTGCTCTTGCAGAAAACTTCTGCTTCTTTTTTAACTGACAATAAATTAATACGGCTAGCATTTTAGAGGAGAAAAATACCAATAAAAAAAAAATGTGAAAGAATGAGTGGTATCGTGAAGAAACTATTGCTTATTTTAAACATGGCAGAAGGTTAAAAATAGTCAACTTTTTAGAAGAGAAAAAAAAAAAAAAAAATAATATCATGCTGTCTTAAGTGAACATGAAAATCAAGTATATTGCACAATATAAATATCATAAAAAATTGCTGTTTCTTTTACTAATGATTATAAATTTAAATTGATAAATATTTTAGAGCATTGGTTCTCAACTGGGGCAGTGAACTTGTTTTGCTGAGGGGCGATAAACTTGTTTTGGGCAGCAGAGGGGGTGGCGAGCATGTCTTGGGTGGTAGGGGGTGATGAGCATGTTTTGGCATTCAAACTTAATTTAAAAACTCCCACCAAAATTTATTAAATGGATTATCCGATTTACACCATTTTTACCAACAATAAAACGAACTTACGAGATCACTCCCGTCATGCAATTCTAAGAATGGTGAGACAAATCTGCAAAAAAATTCATCCTGACAAACAAAATAAAGATTTGTCGTTTTTCCTGAACATCAGAGCCAAGTTTCTGAAGGCACAGTTTGACTCAGGGTTGCTAGCAACCTCATCAAAAAAATGTGACAATGGTTTGATAGCCTCTTATAATGTATCAAAATTAATTGTTAAATCAGGGAAAGCCATGGGCAAACAGTTGATACAAAAAAAAAAGAGGTCAACTCCAAATCGTGGAAACAGGGGATTTGTGTCTTCATCTCTCTAAAAATATTGAACTATTGAACTGAACGTTCAGAAACTGCCTCTGAACTATTATGCACAGACATCCCTCTGATTATACTTGATTGATTCATTTCTCGTTTAGTTTTTTTTTGTTCTTTTTTAATTATTTAATTAAGAATAAAGAATCTTTAAACATAAAACATGTTTTAAACAATTTTTTTCTGCCATTAGTCATTTCAGTTTTAACAGAAAGAATGTAATTACCTTCCAGGTAGAACTTTTGAGTTAAATGAAAAAATTTGGTGTGTAAGTGTACTGAAAAAAATTACTTAGAATTTTTGCTTTTTCAGGAACCCCCCTTTCCAATACCTAAATAACAGGATTTTCATGAAGAGGGGCGTTGAAAAATTTTTCGCTCCTTGGGGTGGAGGCAGCTTCGAAAAGGTTGAGAATCACTGGCTTAGAGGAAGAAAAATATTGAATCAGTGATATGTATGGGCAACTTTGGAATCAGAACAGTCTGAAAATTAAGTATGTTGTGCATTAAAAATCCTGAGTTTGCCAATTCTGACAACTAGTCTTCCGATTTTGCAGACCGATGGAGGCGGCCGCATTAAGAAGGAAATATCAATGTTTCTTTAAAAACAATTGGTTGCCTGTTTTAAGTATGCGATTTGCTTCATGAAAAATAATGGGATTTTTAAAATTTTATGCTAATTTACATTTTAAGCTTTATTTATATATTATTGTATTTTTCTCCAGTGAAACATGTTTGAGAATGAATGACATATTGTGATTTATTACTTTATTTTCATAAATATTGGGATAATATAGAAATATTTAACATAAGATTAATTTCAGGTTTCTTTCATTGTTTATTTTTACTATTTAAATTACTTATTTCCAATATTTGGTTCAGAGTATTTATTTTTACTTGTTGAAGAAGAGGAACCCATGCCAATCTCCCCTTGGTAGGTTGTCTGCTGACAGAAAAGTAGATTTTCCTTGCTAATGGCAGAAACTGGTTATATCTGCTAAAACTGGCTGAAAAAGATAAATGCACTTAAAATGTTACATTAAATAGCAATAATTAATACAACATTTTAAATACATTTATCATTTTCAGTATAACTTAGTAATGCTAATTGAGTATGTGATTCATTATTTTAACTATTAATGAAAACTGATATAATGTTTGAAATACTTTCTTTCAAATGAGTACTACTTTATGAAATTATTTTTAATAAATAAAAAATTATACTTCTTTCCCATAATAATAGTAACAGTTGATGAATTTATTTTGTCCCATAATAATTGTAGCAAAAGAAAATAAATGTAGATGCAACATTTATTATCAAGAAACTAGACTAAATTAAGCAATATTTCTGTTAATTTTTATTTTTTGAGTGTTCAGATAATTTCTGAATTTTTCAATAATTTTGTTACTACATTTTAAACTTGAAGGTAGACTCCCTTGGCTACAAAGCTTTGTTTTGTCTATATGAATGATCTTAAAATTATGAGTGAAACATATCGAGTATTTCCTGAGAAATATTATCAAAGGCTATGTTTACTAGTTCTATGGTGCATATTCTACTAAGAGGAATATGTCTTAAGTTTTTCAAGTTTTCCTCCATAATCTTTGCATTTATGTCCAGTTTTGTTTTTTCAAAGGATCAAAATTAGCATTAAGATTCACCTTGACAATTATTTTCAGAAGCATGTTTCCAAATTTTTGATGTGGTCATTCTGTCGCACTTAAATAATTTTGAAGTTAATGCTATTGCACCTTTCAGGCAGCTTTGTGTTTTTCATTTGATGCATCAAGAACTGGGCAATTGCATCTCAATCTTTGCTTGAAAACTCTCTTTTTTCTTCTTACTTTTTACAATGATTCAATACTAAAAAAACGAAAAAAAAAAACAATAAAAAAATAAAAAAAAAAATAAAAAAAATAAAATAAAATAAAATAAATAATAAATAAAAAAAAGATCAGCAGGTGAAATTAGAAAAATAGTAATAATTCATGATAATTAAGTTAATTTAAAAATGGAAAGATGTGTAAAAAGTGAAAGATGTCACGAAACATTGATTTTGATTGAAAGCTCACAATTTTTTCTCTTCAATGTACTACAGCTGCATTTGCCAACAACTCTCAATTAACTATTCACTTTCTACTATTATTATGGGACAGAGGAAGTATATAACATGTATTAAAAATAAAAATATCTTTTACTTTAGTCGGCATATAATTCTAATAATAATAATTCTAATAATGAAAAAGAATAAATTTATTTAATTCCTCTTTATTTATACTGTCTCATTTCTTTTAAAAATAAGTGCTTAAAATTAGCTTTTAATGTTTAAAGTAAAATAAGATTAAAAAAAAAAAAAAAAACTTATCATTGTTTGTATTCTCTTAAATACACCAATCAAATAAGTTTTATTAAAATTAGTAAACCATAGCTGGCCACCATTCACCATTTGTTTGTACATCTTTTAAGTAGTTTTATGTTTAAGGAGTTGGTTTATTAAAAAGGAAATTTGAATGTATTTTCCTGAGACTGTAAGGCTATTTTGTCTGATTCAAGATGTAGTAAGATCAAATTTGAGAGGTTTGGTGTGCAGGAAGATTTAAAGAAGATTATAGTAGAATGTGTTAACTGAGAAAGTTGTTAATGCTAAAGCGTACAGAAGCAAGAGGTGCAGTAAGTGTCCAGTGGTAACATCTGTAGTAGAAACAGCAGCAGGTAGCTCTGCTTTCTGACAAAGCTGTTATAGAAGTACATACATCATTATAAGATAATTCAACTGCACTTGCAAATAAATCAAAACAATAGAAACATGAAGAACACTGATTTTTAAGACAGCAGGCCAACAAATATGAGAGACTTTGTCATTAAAACAACTCCAATTAATAAAGATATATTTGATGTGGCAATATAGTTTGAAAAGTTAGGAGCAAAATTCTTTTATAGCTATGATATTCCACTCTGTGAAGTGAATATCTGTCCTTTGCATGTATGATAAATAATTAAGAACAGTTTACCCACCTCCTTCTAGGAAACATCTGGGTAGAGACCTGCTAGATAATATATTAAAGTATAAAATGCAGTCGGAGACTAAAAGAAAGCAGTGATAAAATGGTTGTATTGATTCAAGATGGTTGGAGCAATATCTATAATGATCTGGTTATTGCTTATTGGTATTGAAGGTATTTTCTTCAATTCCGTAGATATAAATATGGAGTCAGAGAAAAGTACAATAAAAATAACCAGTGCATCAATAACAGAAGTAGAAAAGATTTCAAATGAAAAGTATAAGCTATTGTAACAGATAATGAGCATAAAATAGAAAAAAATGGGAAAGTTCATGAATTATTTTTATAACATTAATTAATTTTAATAACATTTAACAATACGAAAATCCTTCAAAACATCGATGGAATTTAACTAATTTAATATAAACTAAAATGCAAAAGTATGTTTATGAACTGTTCCTAACATCTGACCAAGCCCCAATCTTCTTACTCAGAAGGCATCTCTGATTCTTCAGAAAAGAACATGCCAATGTAAAATTTAAAAAAAAAAAAAAAAAAACTGCACACAGACACACACATTAGTTTGATGTAAATATTTTAGGGCATTCTTTTTTTCAAAAGCATGGGGGCAAGAAAAATTTTGCAGTTTTCTCCCCTCTTGAAGGGGGGATCTGTATCTAATTACCATCAAAATCAAGAGATATTCAAAACTTAAGCATGACTAAGGTTGCTTTTTTGCCTAATTTAAAATGGATGATTAAAATCGAAGTCAAGCTGTTTGGCAACTTAATCAATGCAACATTCTTTACTACTTAGCAATTTTCATGATATATTTTGACCTTATTTGGTGACTTATAGATATATTCTCTAATAATTTGATAATATTAACCAAATTGCTGTTCATAATAAGTAATGTCTTTCAAAGTGCATGGGATTTAGTAATCCAGTGGGTAAAAAGAAAGGACAAGATATTATTTCATGGGATATAAATTATGTCTTGCATCATAATGTTTTCATCAACTTCTTTTTCTTATATATATTTCTCCAACGAAGTTTTACATAATATTTTAGCTTATGCATGGTAGTGCAGTTAAAAGACTACAATTGCAAATGAAGATTTTATGACTTTTGTTTTTTGCACAATAATAATACCCTCCTGTAAGTGCTACTGCTCTTGCAGCACTTGCAGGCAGTATAAGGAATAGGAATATTTTCCAGCTTTTCATTTATCCGTATTAAACTGAGAATTTTTTTGGGTGTTGAAACAGCAGTTAAAATAATCTTCTGCTTATAATTAATAGAAATTTATAATCATAGAAATAATTCGTAGAAAAATCAGGCTGAACTTGAATAGTGATGTGTAATTGTTAACTGTTATTATGTACTCTTTGAACAAATATTATAAACATTATAATTTAAAATACATTTTCCTTTACTACTTAACAGTATTTCAATCGGTTTTCTGTTACTCTATGAGCTATGTTGTAGCTAAACGTCCTGACTGATTTGATTTATGTAAATCAGATCCATGAATTCACTATAGTAGGTTCATTATACCAGTCTCTTTAGCAAGGTCTTGAGTTCCTTAAAGGTAACAGAATGTGTTTGCCCCATTTTGATGTGGAATAGCACTGGTATGGATACAGGGTCTTCTGTCGAGTATGAAATGTATTATATCCACAGATTTGTTGCTTGCATTTTGTATATTCTACTTTATGCAATGCATGCAGAATAATATGACACTTTGACCTTGTATGACCATAATAATGTCATGATTTCCGAGTGTAGCTTTAGAAAGTTGTGGGTTCTGGACGATAGCCGATTAGTCTATGCAAGCTGCCCGGGTGTCCCAACCTACTCTCACCTGTCATCAATCTCTTGAAAGGATTTTTGATTCGATTATGTTTTAAGTGCGTGCATGTTATAATATACTGTACATTTGTAAATATCCATGTCCTCTCTAGGATTTGAACCAGGGCTTAGTTGTATGGCCAGTGCACACTGCTAACCATCATATTGAGCACAGTATTTTTTTTAATGAATTACTGTCACTTTTATGACAGGAACTGGTTTTAACTTTCTGTATTCAACAGATTTAACGGTACTTACATACTATTCCGACCATCTTAGTAGAAGTTGCCAAAATTTAAGAAAGTGCCAAATTCTGGCAATCATGCCCATAACCAGTCTTCCAACAATCATGCTCATAATAATCATTTCAGTCAAGCAACACTGCCCATTTCATATGCATTCTATTTTGTTGTATTCCAAGTTTCAGTGGTATTTATACACAAATCATGATATTTTTTGCCTTAGTTTTAAAATATGAACTTGTGGAATTCACCAGCAGTGAAAGAAAGTATGGTAAATTTTCAGCAGTAATAGAGAATTTTGCTGTAAATTTTGTAAGGGGAACAAGGAGATGCATTTTCTAGATCGCTGCTATTGCCGAAGATTGCACAAAGTGGAGTCTGCAATTTTCTGGTTTTTTGTTAAGAAGAGACTGAAAGCCTAAAGTTTGTATTTTCCTATGATATTGTTTACCAAACATACTATAAATACTGATACTTTGGGAATCCTTCTAAAAAGGAGGCACGAAAACCACCAACTTGCACACACTAAATAACTTTTAGATTTTCATCTGTAAAAAATCACCGAAGATGGTAGCGATAGTACGCAAGCACCGTTTTAACTATTTTGGCTGACACTTGCGAATCCTGAGTCTCACTAAGAATGTATACAGTTTTTCTATGAAACCTGTATCAATCTAAAGTTGGATTTTGTATAATTTTAAACTGATTATGTTCTGCCCAGAAATATACATAACATCAAAATAAAACTTCCTAGTACAATTTTCCTTATTTTTTAGTTGTTAAATTGTAAACATTTTAAAAATACAATATAGAACTGTCAGGTTGGTATTATGATAGCTTGAAAATCACATCTCGGGCATAAATGATTTTACTGCAAAACAAAAGGCGAGCATTATTATGAATAAATAATGTTGTAAAATTTAATTTTGTATTGCTGACTAAAGGGTGTTCATTTCTTCAAAAAAGGGATATAATATTGCTCAGTCAAAAATTAAGTATTTCAGGAGTAGAACTGAAAATGACTAAAATTGCCATGCATTAGAAATAACAATGTTGCAGTATATCTTATTTTTGGTATTAATATTCTCATGTAATTTTCTTAGTTCTAAAATTTTAGTCACAGATTCTTTGTTAATGCATTCATTATTTATTGGAAATAAAATTTTCCTATACACTTTCAGTTTAAAAATATTCTGGTGAAGGATGGAAACGAAAAGTTAATTGTTTGTGAAATTTTGATACTTTCTGATTACTTACACCCTTATGAAAAGTTAGCAGCTCTTTGGCAGCTTTTGTTAAATACTGAAAAAACATTTGTTTGGCTATCTTTAAGGATCAAGGTTCATTTGTGTTCATAAATAATAATAAGAAGCATTTTATGAGGAAAAACTGAAATCTCTATGGCCAATATTTACATTTCTCAGTCAGAAGATACTGTTCAAGAAGTGATGTTTAAATATGAAGCATACAAATCTATGTGTACTAAAAAATGTATGGTGCACATAATGACTATTGCCATGTGTATATTAAAAAAGATGGCAATTCTATTGAATGTTGAAATGAGGGTGTGATTAATTAGAAAGTACCAAAATTCCTATCTCTTAAATTAACGCATCCAATTATATGAAACTTCATTTCAGTTTTTCTTCCTAATTGTACGAGTTTCTTAAGAAAGTTTTGTTTTCAAAGCTGATGCATAAGTATATATATCTCACATAAAATACAACAGTAGGTGTAATAACTTCGTGCAAGAGTCATTAGTCTGTCTCTATTATTTGACAGTGCTGTGAAAAACAGCAATGGTGGATTAGAAAATGTATCGTATGTTATAATTTGTGAAGTGAAAATTAGCTGTTTCTGCTCAGTAAGCCTTTTGTAGCGAATCTGAGGCTGATCTTTCATTTAAAAACTTCAGGTAATGGTATGGGTAGTTTTGGAAAGTAAAGAAAAAATTCTTCATGCCCGTTTATGTGAAAAGAATGCAAAGATCATGTAAGAAAACCTTACTTACAGTCTAGAAATCTGCGTGTTACACCAGCTGGGAATTAGAGTTATCATTTTAAAGAGTATTGACAAAGTAACTGAAATGCAGCCAGCCCTATTGTCAATAACTGTTGCAACTTCTTAATATCTGCAGACCATCTGGAGCATACAAACTTTTGTATTAATGTGCTAGAAGCAGTAGTGGAGGATGATTTTCTGCATCTTCTGTTTAACAATTAAGTTTCCACATCTTCTTATTTTAGCCTGGATGTGTGGTGTCTGACACTGATTGTGTATATGAAATAAGTGTAGGGTATATAATTTGATCCTATGTATTTTTTGTTATTCAACATAATGTTTTATGTGAAAATATACATCTTCCAAACACCAACATTCTTTTTAATGCTTGTGGTTTGTTGGGGCAACTTGAGATTTAAAATGTTATACATTTTCTTTCAGCATTACCTTGTGTGGTGCTGAATTCCCACAAATCTGTATTCTGGCGATACTATCGAGGAAAACATGAAACCCACTTGTCTACTGTCGAAGCAATTTACTATTTTCTGGTCGAGCTTCATTGTCTATCCTATCCTGACCTACCTTATTTGGGACAATATGACAACATGCTGTTCTTCTTCAAATTCATGTATTATAAGATACGTACACTGTATGATCCTTTGAAGTTGAAGGCATATCAGGAGTAAGCAGTTGTCCTGAAGATTTTGGTGAACACTTTTTTGTTACTCTGTATTCCATGATTTGCTGATTTTTTTCTATTTGACATGCTGTAAATAAACAGTGATAATTTTAATAATTTTAATGCTTTAAATATATTTTAATAAGATTAATACTTTTGCTTTATTTTAAAAATTTCTGTGCCACAAAATATTTTTTTCTGAAGGAGAAACAAAATTATTTTCCAGGTTTGTTACTGATTGCAAAAACTGTCAGTTTTATCTTGAGCATTTCCCCTCTTCAGTAATTCATTTAAAATTTGTTTACATAATTTTTTTCTGTTGCTTGATAGTCGTAATTTGCAATTAAGGGGAAAACATTTCAAATCCAGTGGTTTAATGCTAAGAGTTTGGCACAAAGTAAATTTTATGCCAAATGTTGTGAATGAAGAAAATGTTGATTATGTAAATGTACTGTTGAAACAAATGCAATAGATTACTTTTGTATCGGTATCATGTATACCCATACAAGCTTCACAGAAAAAGAAATAGTAACTTGGAAAAATTACGTCTCTCTAAGACATTTATATTTTAGCATTTTGTTGTATGTGATCCTGTCTTATGTTTCCCAGATGTAAATTCAGTTTTGAAGTCTTATTTGTGCTCAGAAGTAATTTCTTGATATTCAGGTCTTGTGCTTGCACAGAGACAAAACATTCAGTCTAATTAATCTCCTTTGCTATTCACCATTCATTGTTAAAAGTGTAAATGTTTGTGAAGGTGAGGCAAATCAAATGAAAATCTTAAAATTGCAATAAAAATCTGAAAAATTTCGCAGAGCTTTATGAAGAGTGGCAAACAGATCAAAATGAATGATTCAAAAAATTCAAACAGGGATTTAGTGGTGGTCTACATACAGTGACTTCACTTACAAAATGTGCCAAAAAATAGCAGCTTCTCTTATTCATTTTGTAGCTAGTGAGATGATAACTTGCTTTAATTTATTGAAGAATGAAAGTTCTGTATGGTGCTGCACTTGCAAGTTGCACAGTGTGCCTTAGGTTTAAATCACAAATAAAATTTCTTATGGACATTTTTAGTAAATTTGAACCAACCTATATATTTTCCTTTAAAAAGGCTTTTTCAATAATTCACTGATTCTGGTTCTTAAATATGCATATTTAAAAGGAAGTTTACACTTACTTTGTTTTACTAAAATTTAGTACTTGATAAGAATTATCAGAAATGAATTTTTCCTTGTACCATTTTATTGCTTTTATGTCCAGATAGAAATTCATAAAATGTAGTAACTTGCAAAAAGTGTAGTGTGTAATTTTTTTTAATCATTCTTTTACTAACAGAGCTAATGCATGTTGAGTGATTATATTGTTATCACAAAAGAAATTTCTAATCTGCAAAAATTTTGCACGAATTGACAATCAACAGATCATTAGGGAGTTATAAATATTTAACATTGGCATATATAAATATAAATCATGTTTTGTGTCATTTGTGAAGAGAGTCAGAAATTTTAGCTTCATTATTTTAATTTTTAATATATGTATTAAAATGTATGGGAAGGCGTTTTAACTGTTAGCCATAAGGTTTTGCAGATAATGAAATGCAAGTATCGGAATTCTTTACATATGGTGCATTTCGGAATACATCAAGCAGGGTATCGTATGAAACTTTAAAATTATTCATCATCTAAATGGGCACTGAAAGAATATGTAGCGAAGCAGTATCTTAACTTTAAATTAATAAACCGAAGAATACATCACTGCGAGTGGATTGTAAAATTAACTTTTATTCGGCGGTTTGAACTTTCGAACACAACACAGCACAAAGTAAAGCGACATAGTTACAATTAGCGGTTTTAAGAATGCAAGAAACAAAATGCGAGATACGCATACAATCTGCGCATTGCGAAATAATATCTCACAGACAGGCAGAGAGCTCTGGTGGCCGAAACATTCCGCCCGGCGTTGAAACATCGTTTCAAACTAAATCGCTTTTACAAAATGAAATTATCATAACAATATTAAATTATGCAAAAATGTATCATTAAAATATTCACAAGAAAACATACTATGAAATTATGCAATGAAACTAAATTGTTCTCAAAACAGATGCACAGAAGCCTTGATACAATTCAGGAACTTAATTATAGTTAAAGCAAAGTACAAAGTTATAATGCTTTAGAAAAAAAAAACTTAATCAATTGATAGGCAAAACACTAAGTTTGTGAATTGGCCTTTTGAAAACTCCGGTTAGCAGTTTTGATCTTCACGATACGCACAATATTATCTGAGCTAGGAAAAAACTTCCAGCACTCTTCCTAATTTCCATCGTAGCGGGGTAAATTGTCTTCCTTTATGATAACTAAATCATTAACCTTTAAATTAGGTTGCACTTTCAACCATTTTGAACGTCATTGCAAATTAGAAATGTATTCATTGGACCATCTTTTCCAAAAGCTTTGAAACATTTTCTCAACAAGCTTCCAACATTACAATATAGAAATTTTTTGATCGTGTAAACTTTCTTCTGGTAAGGCAGTTAGCGGGGTACCAATTAAAAAATGGCCTCGCGTAAGTGCAGAAAATTCTGATGGATCTTCAGACAGTGGACACAAAGGTCGCGAATTTAAACAAGCTTCAATTTGAGCTAGCAATGTCATAAATTCTTCTTGCGTTAGAAGTTGTTCACCTATGGTTCGCTTGAGATGTAACTTTGTAGGTTTGACTGCATCTTCCCATAATCCTCCAAAATGTGGCGCTGCAGGAAGATTAAATATCCACTTAATACCTTCAGTAAAGCAATATTTATTAACCAATTCATTTTCCTTCAAGGAGTTTATTACTCTTTTCAATTCCTTATCTGCAGCAATAAAATTTGTGCCACAATCGCTATGCACTTCTATTGGTTTTCCTTTTCGAGATACAAAGCGCTTTAAAGCGGCAATAAATGATTCTGATGTAAGATTACCTACTAATTCAATATGTATAGCTCTTGTAGTAAAACACACGAATACACAAATGTAGCATTTCATTGGTTTTACTCCTCGACCTTGCCTGGGCTTCACTTGAAATGGCCCGGCGTAGTCAATTCTAACTTTGGAGAAAACCTTTGACGGAACGACTCTACACGATGGTAAATCAGACATTATCTGGGTAGATGTTTTAGCTCGTACACGATGGCATTTCACGCATTTCCAAATCTGTTGTCTTACAACTGACCTAGCGTGGATTATCCAATATTCTCTTCTAATTACTGATAGCAATAGCAAGGGGCCTGCATGAAGATGGGATTCATGAAAATGATTCACTATAATCTGTGTTATGTGATGTTTCTTGGGCAACAAAATAGGATATTTTCTGTCCTGCACGATGTTGGATTGTCTTAATCTTCCTCCAACGCGTATAAGTCCATTCTTATCGATAAACGGGTTCAAAGAAAGGATCTTACTATTTGAGTTTAACGGTTGATTCTTTTTCAGAAGATTATATTCATTAAAAAACTCATCCATTTGAACTACTCTAAGAATTGCATTTCTAGCGTATTGCAATTCTTCAGTTTTAAGGTCCTTAATCCTTGTTGCGGTAGATTTAGCTGAATTATTTGCAAACCGAAAACACCAAGCGATGATTCTTTTAAGTTTCAAAAATGATGAAACTTTATTAAGGACTGGAATTTGCGAAGCGACTGTTCCAATTGAACAAGAAATATTTTTCCGTTGTTCCCTTAAAGACTCTTCTGAAAATGGTAAGTTGATAGAGAACGGAATATTATTAGAATTAAGCCACTGAGGACCTGTCCACCACAAGTCATGAGTAGAAAGCTCTGAAGGCAAAAGACCTCTTGATGCGCAATCAGCTGGATTCTCCTTTCCTTTTATGTGATTCCAATGCGATGAAGGTAAGACTGATTGAATTTCTGAAACGCGGTTGGCTACGAAGGTTTGCCAGCGTGTTGGTTCTGATTGTATCCAGGACAAAACTATCATTGAATCACTCCATGCGTAAATACTATCAACATGAATTTGCAATAAATTCTGCACAGCTTGAACCAAATGCACTAATAGAACTGCAGAGCAGAGTTCTAAACGAAGAATAGAGATTACTTTCAGGGGAGCTACGCGAGTTTTTGATGTTAGTAGCTGCACCGAAATTGAAGAATGATTTGAAGACTAAATAAATCACTGCGGCGTAAGCTTTCTCTGATGCGTCACAGAAACAATGAAGTTCTACATTTGTAGATTTGGGCAATAATACTCTCCTAGGAATATGAATGCATTCAAGATTTTGCGATATCTTCACAATAGATTTTCCATCTTTGATTGATTTCATCTGGCAAAGGATCATCCCACGAGATTTGTAATTTCCATATGTCTTGAAGCAAGATTTTTGCTGCAACTATAAAAAGGTGCTAACCAACCAAGTGGATCAAAGATTTTCGAAATAGAAGATAAAATTATTCTTTTAGTAGAACACTCTCTGTTTTCGAGATTTCCAAAGTGACAAGTAAACTCATCTTGCGTTGGATACCACTCCAAACCCAATAATTTATTGATTTAGTATCAACTACTGCACATGAAGAATTTGAATTCCGAGCAATCAAAGCAGTTTCCAAAATCGAGCGATCATTTGTACACCATTTATGCAATTGAAAGCCACCTTTTTGTTAAAGTTCACTCAGTTGTGAAATTAACTCTACTGCGTCTTCTACTGTGTCTGAACCAAATAGGACATCATCAATATAACAATTGTGTAATATTATTTCAGCTGCCTTTGGGAATTTAGTTCTTTCGTCAATTGTTAGTTGTTTGAGTACGTGAGTAGCCAGGTATGAAGCGGAAGTAGTGCCATACGTAACTGTGCACAACCTGTAAGTTTTAATCGGCTTCAATGGATCATCTCTCCAAAATATCTTTTGGAAATCGCGATCTTCATCATGAATTTGAACTTGTCGACGCATTTTCAATAAGTCGCTAGTAATGGCTATGGGATAGCATCTAAACCTCAGA